AGAACTCTCACCTGACCTGCCCCAGCCTGAGGCTCTCATCCCCCACCAGCGGGACCAACAGGACTGAGGCTCACCCAGACCGGTCTCCAGCAGAAGACTTTGGGACACCTCTCAAGGGCCATGAGGATCCTTGGAGGCCTCACAAGTGACCCTATTCCTAGGCACACCCCAACTATTTGGGGTGCTGGTCCCAACCCAAGAACCAGGGGCAACCCTGGAAGCAGAGGTCAGCTTCACGGTTCCAGCCAAGGAGTGTCACGGCAGCATCCCCAATGGGCCCCCTGGCCTCTGCAACAGGAGAGCGCCTTCTGTCTCCAGAAAGTAGACGCCTGTGTGCTGCCCAGAGGACCCAGGAGGGCTCATTACACTGCTTCTCCTGCTCCAGGTTTCAGAGGTTTCTGAGGAACACATCCAGGAACAGTCATCATGGGGGAAATTCTGGGACCTGAGCTGCACGTGGGGAGTGGGGGTTTTGCTGGCCCCGGAGAGCATGACCAGTGTTCCATCCCAACCTGGGGCACGAGGGCATGCCTTTGGGGTGGCTGTGGCTGGGGTCAGAGTTTGAGGGGCTCAGTCAGGTGGAGTGGGCACCATAGGAGCTTCCAAGGGAGCTGCATGGTTCTGGGGAGATCTTCCAGATTAAGACAAGGACCCAGGCTGAGACTCACCAGGGAGAGTAGAGGTCTGAAAGGAGGCCAGTAGAGTGGGCCATCTGAAAGACACATGGGCCCTCAGTTACGCCGGAGATCAAGAGAACAACATGGGCTGGGTAAACATGGGTCCCAGGGATGCCTCTGACTCCAAAGTCGGTCCTAATTCCAAAGTTGAGTCCAGATGCCCAGCTGGGAAGTGTGGAGATGGACGGGACTGATGTCAGCCCATGTGGCTGAGTGATGCTGCTCAGCATGCGCCCTGGCTCCTGCAGGCCAGGCCTCTGCCCACAGGGTACCCACAAAAGATGCCCAAGTCCCATTTTCAGGAACACATGCTGTGCCTAAAAGAGGCTTAAGGCGGAGAAAGGGAAGCTGTAAGATCACATCACTTTCTCTCCTGCCAAGGTTCCTCATCCCAGCATTCAGATTTCTCATGAGTGGTAGGAGAGAACCGGTGGGTGTGGAGGTTTCTGCTACAAGCAGCACTCCAGGCAGCTGGGCTCTAGGTGGCCTCACCTAAAGTGAAAACACTCTCTGGCCTTGCTCTATAAATAGGCTCTTGGGAGTGTTTCCACATGGGCAGCTCCTAGCAGGAGAGGCTGGCACAGAATACTTCCTAATGGCTTTGCCGCAGGGCCTCTGGGCTGGCTCCAGACTCGCGGTGAACATGACTGGGGGAACCTCACATCCTGGGCCTCTGTGGGCCATGGAGACAGAGAAACTTCTAGAGGGGTACTTTCCCAAACTGGGCAAGAGAGTGAGCCCATGGTGCCAGGACAGCCCAGAGGCTGGGATGGGCTGGACCCTACCAGGCGCCGGCATAAGGCCCTATGCCAGGGCGGCAATGCTCACAGGAAGTGGGATGACGCCCCAGGGCGCCAGGGCAGCCTGGGCGGGTTGGGGCAGGCTGATGTGGAGAACCCCTGGGGGGATTCTTGTCCCCCTTAAATGGCCTCACATCAATTAAAACCGGAGCCATCAGGGGCCCATCTTGAACAAATCATTTAGGAAGATGAGGTTAATGACAGGGAGCTGGGACAACAGGAGCAGTGTGACTCACTTGCTCAGCGGGCTGGGTTTCCGGGATTCTGGGCAATCACAAACACCCACCACCAAGCCTTGCTTGCCCTAGTGGTGGCCTCAGTGACAGCAGAAGAGGTAGACTCCCACTGGTGCCCCCGACCCCACTGCTCTGCCCTTGACCAGAGTCCCACTGCCACAAAGGAATCATGAAGTTGTGGCAAGCAAGCCATAGGACAGAGGGCCAAGGGCTGTGCTGGGTGTCAGGATGGCAGAGTTCCTGGGCAGACTGGCTCATGCCACCCGAGTCTCTGGAGAAGTGGGTGGCTGGGTGACCAGGCCTGCGGGGACCTTTCGATTCTTAGCCTGGCAGGTGCTCCCGGGGTATGGTGACTCAGGTGTGAGGGGCAGGAGGACTTGCCATGGGTTGGGGCTGGACTTGGCAGGTTCTTCCTGGGAGCTGCTAGGCTTGTCGTCCAGACCACATCTCAGCTTTTCCAGAAGGAAATTCAGATTCCGAGGAAACTGGCAGGGGGTTGCAATTTAATTTATTTCACGTTGGGAAAATTAGGGCACAGAGGGTGGGGGGTGAGCGATTGGGAATTGCTGCTGAGATGCATTTCCTAACAAAAAATGTGGACCTAATCTCATCTTCCTAACAAAAAAAAAGGAGAGAGAGAGAAAGATGCCTGCAATTTGGTTTTCTGGAAGCTCAGTTACCAAATCCAAAATTAGGAGAGATGACGGCTGAGCCGAGGCATTTGCATTTCCAGAAGGGCCGCTTTTGTGCTTGGCAGCAAGAGTGGGGGATCAGCCATCGGATAGGGCTAGCAGGGAATGTCACTTGGGGAGACACCACAAGAAAGGCCTCATCACAGGATGCCCATCCTTGCCAAGCCACCTCCAGCCTACTCAGGCCCCTCACTCCCCTCTGCTTATGAGGGCCCCCGCACACCCAGCCCTGCCTGCCACCATCCCAGACAGCGCGGTGTGCAGCCCAGGGATCCTGCAGCATCTTCACAGGGTGAGGGTATGGAGCTGAGGGACAGCGCTTGGAACAGTCACAGCTCCCTAGGACCTCTGAGGAGTAACCTGGAGCCCCAGATTCTCAGAGCAGTGAGGTTCCCAGTGAGTTTCACATGAGCAAGAAAAGGAACTCTTTTGGGAAGAACGTAGGCACCAAATGAGAGCCTTAGTCCCCCACAGTTCTGCCCTCGGTGTGGGGATACATGCTGATCCCCAGGCTTGGCCCAGGCAGGTCTCTGTGTTGTTTGAAAGACAAGTGCAGCTTTCCAAGAACCATCCTTCCCCCAGATTCCATCAAGGGAGGCTTGTAGGCGTGAATGTGTAGGAACTGCCTCAGCGGGCCCGGCCTGGGCCAGCCTGGCAAAGCTCCCCAAGACAGCCCGGAGGGCTGTGAGCATGGGCTTGTCCAAGGTTGGCCATGGCTCTGGCCTGCCTCCATCTGGAGAGCCCATGTCAGGTTAGTCCCAGGACACCCTGATATCATCCTACAAGAAAAGTGTGTGGGAGAGTAAGTACCCCCTCCTGACTGTTTACATCTAATAACTGGTGGGGCTTCCACTGGCAATAAGCAACCAGGGACAAATGCCATGCCCACTACCCCCAGACCATTTCCCTCAACTCCTCCGCAGGAAATGGTGGACTTCTGAGAGATTCTGAACTTGATCCTGATGTAAATGAAGACAGGAGTGGCCGCAACCCTGATCTGACCTGTGAGCAAGAGCTGTCACATGTCTTGGAGAGTCTGCTCATGTCCTGCTGCCCCCAGCAAGGGGCCATATCTGTCTTTGGAGATGACCTAGCCACGGCTGGCTGCTCAAATCACCCAAGTCCCCACAACTAGTAGGTCCAAGACCAGGTCCAGAAGCCACAACCAGCAATCTAGGGCTGGTCAGCAGCGGTCAGAGTGCTGGCATGGGAGGGAACTGATAAGGTTGGCCCCACAAGCTGGAACCCCTCTGCTCTGAGCAGGCTGACTTGTGGCCACCTAGACTCTCCTTAAAAGCCTCCAGGGAGGCCGAGTTCGGTGGCTCAGCCTGTAATCCCAGCACTTTGGGAGGCTGAGGTGAGTGGATTGCCTGAGCTTGCAGGTTTGAGACCAGCCCGGGCAACTTGGCAAGACCTGTCTCTACAATAAATAAAAAAATTAGCTGGCATGGCAGCACATGCCTGTAGTTCCAGCAACTTGGAAGGCTGAGGCAGAAGGATCGCCGGAGCCCAGCAGGTCGACACAGATGGCTGTGAGCAGCGTGCCACTGCTCTCCAGCCTGAGTAATGGAGTGAGATTCCAACTCAAAGAAAAAAAAAAGAAAGCCTCCAGGGATGGGGCGCTCACTACCTCCCGAGGTTGCTGAGAGCCTTAACTGCCAGTTTGGACCAACAGACCTGCCAGATTCTTCTACACACCGGCAGGCCATGTGGAGGAACTGCAGCAGGTCCCCAGTGGCTTCCAGAACATCTTGAACCAGCAGCCACTTCCCCACCTACAGCTCATGAGAAGTATGTCACTGAAAGCATGACCTGTCGTTTTGGTGGGACTGGTGCACAATGGGCTTCCCTTGAAGACTTGCTCTGCACCAGATATAGTGCAGCACATACCTTGCAACCACCTGGAGGAGTATGTATCACCACCACTTCACACAAAAGAACCTGAGGCTCAGAGAACCTAGGTCAAAATGTGGAGGCCACACAGTTGGCAGCAGGCAGAGCCTGAGGCCTAACCCTAGGCTGTGGCTTGCTTTTCACCCAGCAAGGGCTGAGGAAGTGGCTTCCCCATTCTTGTTGCTCATCAGAATTCAACCAATATGCCCCCTTGTCAGTCCATGCTGAGGCCGCAAAGGCAGGAATCCACCGACCAGCTCCTGGGAAGGTCTAGCATTGTCCCCCATCCCTCAGAATAGGGCAGGTGTATTTGAGGATAAAGACCCCTCTGGCCAGCTGAGCCCCAAGAAGCCAAAGACTGAAGGCGTAGATAACACGCAGACATATGGAAAGTACTCGCTGACTTCTCCAGCAGATGCAGAGGAAAGAGTCCATGGAAACCCTCATGAGCAAACGGAAATATGGGTGCCTTAGGCCTCCGAGTCTTAACAGAAGCAGCCAGTGGGCTCCAGCCAGAGGGAAGCAGGTGGCATGCAGGGGCTGCTCTGGCTGCCTTTGCTCCCCCAACCCTGAATGGCTGCAAAGGAGGGTGCCCTGGCCTTAGAGGCAATCCGGGCAGGAGCAAAGTCTCCCAAGTTGCCCTTTTCGTTCTCTCTGTAAGGGCCCCAGGGATGGGAGGACAGATTAGATCTCACCCAGAACAAGCCATTCCTGCAAGAAGTGCAATAAAGTCAGCTTTAATTTTCAGATTCCTTTGCCCTCACTCATGCAAGGAGAAGGAAGCCACCAGGCCCCAGAGGACATGTGTGGAACAGAAATCAAAACCACTGCAAAGCCATCCCCTACTCCAGAGGGCTTGTTCCTGGATGGACCTGACTCACATAGGCCCCACTTTAGAGAAAACTCCTGGCTCATCCAACCAAAGAGCAGACCAATTTCTAAGCCATGGCAGGGGTGGGAAAAGCCAGTCCCAAGTCTCAGCAGTAAGGTGAGTGAAAAGCAGGGTGTTTGGGACCACCTCCTCTGGCGCAGGGGCTGGGGAGGCTGCCATCTTAGGACTCCAAGGTAGCAAGCATTTCCAAGTGGCTCCTTCACATTAAGCAAAATGTGGTCCTGGCAGTCAGGTCTTAGGCATCTTTTTATGTGAGTCCTGCCCACTGGGGCCTCTGGCTGCTAGATGGAGGGCCTCCTGGTACAAACGGCAAAGTGGAAGGCAGCACTGCATATCCCTGGGGCTCTGGTACGGATGTGATTCCCAAAGAGTTGAATCCCCTTTATTGTTTTATCCAAGTCCCACAGTAAAAATCCCTGGCCTGCCACCCCCAAATTGACCAAGTTCCTGATTCTTGCTCCCCTGATCACGGTGTTGTTCTCTGCATGATTAGTTGCTGGTTCTCCAGACACTGCTTCAGCTTGTCTTCTGTCAGTGTCAGTCGCTGCTCCAGGATGGAGACTGTCTGCAAAATAAAAGGTGGTCAGGCTCAGAACAGAGGGGCTGCCCTAGCGACCCCACTGGCCAGTCCCTGCTTGGCTGCCTCAGCCCACTGCCCAAATACCAGGTACCACTCTTCCTGCCTAGGGGTTCTGCCTGGCCCTTTGTCTCTGGAAGCTGTTGGGACAGTCCTTGCCTTTATGGCCACTCCTCCTCGCTCTGGATGGTTGATCTCTGATGTTTGTGAGCAGGAGGAGAACAAAGTGAGGGAAACTAGATGGCAGGTCCCACAGTCCTTGGTCATTTCTCAAGGCAACCAGGAAGTCAGGGATCCTCAGCCCTGATGATCTGGCATTTAGGCTGGAGTTCTGGAGCAAAACCAGATTTCTTGATTGGGCCAGGCGCTATCCATAAACAACTGGAGACCAATAACCATTGCCATTCCAGAGGTGAGAAAACCGTACCCACAAATGAAGGCACTCCACTTGGGTCCTGCCCTTGACTCAGGCCCTTCCCCTCTACAACTGGAAGGGCCTCTCAGGCTTGCAGGGGACAAAGGCTGGAAGGTGAGTCTCCTGAGGCCAGCAAAGTCTCTGCCTGCCCAAGTCCAATAAGGATGACTGCAGGATGTGTCATCTAGGAGTTAGGCCGAGGGTGATCACAGGCAAGTGACAACTACATATCTCTGAAATCATTTTCTCCTCCGTAAGTGGGAAGGACAACACCAAGCTCACAGCATGGGTAACAAGCATGCCCAGCACGTGCTCAGCAGCTCAACCCATGCTGGCTACTATGACCACGTCTGTCATCATATTGCCCTCCTGAGGCCAATCCCTTGCTCTCCTGGCCTCTCTCACACACCCATTATGAGGGCTCACCTGTGGACCTGGCCGCCTGGCCTGCCAAATGCCCCCAGTCACTGGGCTATGTGTGCTTCATGAGCGGTGCAGACACAGCTCCCAGACCGGCTGTGAAAACCTGCCCTTCTCCTCTGGCTTTGGACAGAATGTCAGCAGAGGGGCAGCCATGTCTGGGAACTCATGTGCTCCTTGAAGAGGGGCTGGTCCCCTGCAGGCCTGCCCCACCCATTACTTGCACAGGTTGGCCCATGCAGCTACGACAGTTGGGCTGACTGAGTGGCACTATTGCATGACAGGCCCATGCTGCCCACTGCACAAGGTCCCGTGAACGGGGCAGACTTGATTCTTGCACTGTGACGCCTACAGGCATCAGAAGGGTTCGATAAATTTCACCCGTGGACTTTCCCAAGAGGTTTTACCCCCTTTCCTGGGGCTCCGTGAAGACTCTGGGCCCTGGTCCAGTGGAAAGGAAATTTTCCTTTCATACATCTAATAAAACATTGAAACATTTTGCGAGGGAGTTTTCCCCTAAGGCTGCTATAAATTCTCTTGACATCCAGCACGATGTCAGCTGCCATGGAGGGTGCGCCGCCTGGTAGCTGGTCCCTTCTGAGAGGCCGTGAGGGCTCTGTGAATCCTGGGCTGCAGAACAGAGCCTGGAAAAACTGCTGCCCATGGAACACGAGCTGAACCCTGAAAGGCAGAGCTGAGCTGAAAGGGACCACATCATGTCCCCCTGTGCTGGCCAGCCAGTGGGCAGAGGGTCTGCATCTCATAAAAGTGTCGGTGGAAACAGCCCCCGGCTGGCCTGGGGCAGCATTCCTGGAAGTTTCCACTGGCTGCTGTGAAACTCACACAGAGCCAAAATCATTCTTCATCCAGACTTTTTCCGATGGCCCCAAACTCAAGGCCACAGCGGAGAAGCCGAGCCTGCTGCTTTTCCTCTTCTGCCTTTATTTTTAAACTTTTCACAGGAGCTCAATTTCCAAACGTGGAGATAGTGGGCTCAGAAAATGTGGGTAAGGTGCTGGGCCATCATCAGCACAGGGCCTCCACTGAGTCCCACGGGGTCCCATACTTCAGCTCAGGAGGAGCGTGGTCACTAAGTTTGCTGATAATTGTCTTTGAACAGAGAGGTGTCATCTATTTCACAACCAGCCCTCCATAAAGGGTGCCAGCCCCATTGGGGGCCCTACCTTCTGGAGCTTTGGGGGACACTTCATAGCATGTTGTGGACAAACAGTCTTTTAAAAAGTCTACCACCTCTCAAGCCTGCATCTCTCCTACCTGCCTCTCTCCAGTTTCTCCCTTCCTAGCAAGGCATCAGAGGAGCTGTGTCATCTCTGTTTGATTTCTGCTTCCCCTATCCCTTCTGCCTACTCTGCCAAGGTACTGGGTGACAGCCACCATCAGGAATAAGCCCACCAGATACTTCCCAGAAACACTGATGCCATCCAACCCCCCTCTGAACTGGGAGATGGCCAGGGAGAGGAGGAAGCTTTTTTGGATTTCTGTATGTTAGAATGCTGCCTGGCATTCTCTGCTCCATGTATTTTTCTTATTCATCCCACTCCAATAAAGCAGGGGTCCTCATTTTCATGGAAAATGGTTATCCCTCATGATAAAGTAAAACTTGGAAATCTTATTCTCAGATTTTGCTAGTGTGTCTTCCCTCTACGAGGGAAAGGGTTTCCATAGTGATGGAAAGGCCTTCCTCAGGGGCATCCGAGTGGCAAAGGTTGCACACACTCAGGGCTGGTAGTATAGACAGATCATCTGTGGGGAGTCTGCCCAGGTCACAGGCCTAGAGCAGCCAGGATGGGCCACCACAGTGCAACTGTACTTCACCTGGCCTATGCGAGGATGCGAAGAGAACATGTGAAAAGGAATATGGGGTAGGGTGGGGCATCCCTGGCAAGGACTGGTTTGGGGCCACACCATGTGACCTTGTTCGTAGTGTGTGTGACCCTGACCTACTGGTTTAGAGTAACAAAGGGTGAGCACATTCCTATGCCAGTGTCAGGTGCACAGTAGGGCTCAGTAAATACATGCTGCCTCAGTGTGCAGAGGCTGCCACCATTCCTTCCTGCTGCCCAGTGCGACATGCAAGGTAGCCCAGGCCACGCCTGTGATCCAACCCCCGGTGGGGTCGAGTCAAACAGGCTGCTTGCTGCCTGCCTCACCTCATGCTCCAGTCCACCCTGGGGATTCTCCTGCCACACAGTGCCTGTCCTAGCCACGCTGGAGACATGGCCACACTGGAGGTAAGGCCACACCTGCGCTGGAGGGCAAGGAGGAGCACTTTCCAGGCCAAACCCTCTGTAATCTTCCTGAGTCCAAACTCAACAGCCCAATAGCTTCGACTTTCTTTTATTCAGGGGCAAATGAGAACTGACTTCCCAAGCAACCCTCTGACCCACACTGCCTCTCACCTTGCTCTGTACAGAGCAGCAGGGGATAGAGGACTAGGCCTGGCCCCTCAAAAAGTTTCCAAAGAGGCGCAGGCTGGGTCAGGTGTCGTGAGGGAAATTGCCCTGCCTGACACAGTTGTCCAAGGGCTTTGACTTTTGGGCAGGATCAAGGGAAACTGAAGAAGGGAGTGGGGAGTCCAGGGTTCAGGTTGCTGGGTAGGCCGGTAGCCAGGAAAGATGGCCCATCTCCCCAGACTCCTTCATTCCGGGGTCCAAACTCTGTCTGTTGACCTTGGAGTAGTCAGGCAGTTCATTCCCTCCCCATGGATCTTGTGTTGCCCTTGCAGCTGATTCCTAAGTCCTCTCTATAATTAGGGTAAGGAGCCCAGACATGAGGAAGACCTAGCGGGAGGACTGGGCCGGGGAGGGTGTCACTCTGATGATTCTTGACACTCTCTGCTCTGCAGGCATCTCTTGGCAGCTGATGTCCATGGAGCACTCTTGGTGCCAAGCACTTTTCAACAACCCTTCAAGGTAGGACTTTTATCATTTCCATTTTTCAGATGAAGAAACTGAGGCACAATGATATTAAACAACTTGCCTAAAGTCACACAGCTTACAAATGACAAACCTAAGCTGTCAACCCAGTAGACTGGCTCCAGAGTACACACTAAAACACTGGGTAGTGTACATCTTGGCTTTGTCCCCATCACACGTAGCTAAAGAGAGCCTTGCTGGTCTCATGACCCAGGAGACCTACTTATCCCCCACCTGCTACTTCCAGCCCTGATGCCCAAATCCAAGCAGCCTGAGAGAAACTTGTGCATCCCAGTCCTCACCCAGTGGTGGCTACCTTCTGTCCTGGCTTTGACTGCCCACCCTAGCTGCTCAAGACTACATAAACAGAAGCTCCCAACCTCCAGACCATGGTGGAGAACCCTCAGGACCACCCAGCAGACCTCTCACACCATCAGACCACTCTCAAGAGACAGTTCCCAGGCCTCAGATATCTCCTCCCTCTGAAAAGCAGTCTCCTACCACTAAACATTTAGGTTTGGAATTATCACAAAAGTCATGACAGTAATTCATTTGAGCCATGAAAAGTCAATACTATAGGAATGTACCAACAAGAAGCTCCCTTAGGTATGCAATGAGAAACTGCTCTAATACCTTCATTTTGGACACCTTCCTTCACGGGGGCATTTGTGTCAACAGTGACACAAAATCAGCCTAGGACCCCTAGCACCCTCCTGCCGCTTTGAGGGTGGAGATAAAGCTGCCTGGCATGTCCTGCAGGGCCCGGCCCCATCTCCTGCCATCTCTGATGCCCCCTCATTGCTCCAACACATGAGCTAAAACATGCTGTAGGACTCACCCGGGTCACTGCTAGGTGCATCACCCCTTAAAGACTAGGCTCAACTTTAAACGAGGAACCTCCCTCCCTAAATTGGAATGACAAGAAGCCATACTGAGGACATCCCCCCTGCCTAGGCACTGCCACCCTTCACCCAGTACTGTCTGCCTCCCAGGGTCAGGGCCCTCATGGCAGGGTTCCAGAAGTTTGTATCTTCAAAGTCACATCCGTCACAAGGGTCACTTGGGGGCTCATTTCAGAACCATTTTTGCCTGCTCTGTTACCAGCAGTTTCCAGGAAGCCATAGACCCTCTCACGAAAAACCTTGGTTTTTGAAATACTTCTTTTTGTATTGAATGTATCCTATTGTTTCTCTAGACCACAGGTTAGCAAATGAAAG